TACAGAGGTAAAAGACAAGCCAGAGGTCTTGAAACAGTCCCATGCCGGCAGGATTCAAACCCAGACCTAATTAATGCTCCTACGGAACCAGTTAGGGAAAGGTAAACACAGTGGAAATCAATGCCCAGGTAACACACAGAAAGCTCCCTCAAGCAATCCAGGAATGCAAATGACAGCAACAAAATCCACCTTTCTTCTGGGGGATTGGCAAAATTTCCAAATGGGAGCCTCTCACTTCCCGAGTGGAAGATTACTAGGATCCTGCAGCAGGGCAGGGCCCCGTGGGAACTGTCGGGCAGTGGGGTGCAGAACGTGGTATCAGGCCATTGTGCCCTCACCCTGAGCAGGGGCGCTGCACTTAGGACACCACCTCACATTGTGGCACGGTGGCTGCCCAGGCTGCAGGCTCCCTGCCTACATCAGACCACGACCTCTGGCCATCTCATCGTTAGCATGACAGAACCTGGAATGTTCTAGGGCAATTAGACAGAACCTGCTAACCCGGACAAAAGTCCAAAGCACACTGCCGCATGACAGCTGCTTCAGAACAGTGTGCCATGCAATGACGAGTCTTCACACTGCTTCCAGGCAGCGACGGAGCATGTTTTCCACGGACAGCTTCAAGCTCAGGGTGAGAAAACAAGAATGGCCCTAACTGCAGCTGCTTCTGGGAGACAGTGAGGGTGGGGGAGGGTTGAGGTTTATTTATGCTTTCCTGTATCAACTGGTAACACATACGCACCTCCCTGTTTGGGCACAAAGTCCTAGGACCTGTAGAGGAGGGCACAGTACCCATTCATCCAACAGCTACTTGCCGAGTACCAACTGCAGCCAGGCCTATTCTCTGGAGCTAGACTCTCTCTTACCCCTTGAAACAAAAAGGGGACAACCGGGCTGGGCAGATGACCCCAGGCAAGTGTGAACACCTGAGTCTGAATCTCCAGAATCCAAAGCCAGACGACATTGCATTCATGCCTATTCTATTCATTCCTGTCAGCCCAGAGCTCCTGTGGGAGGGCAAGAGGACAGAGGCAGGAGAAGCCCAGTGCCTCACAGGCCAGCTTGAAACAGCAGAAAAAGTGAGAAAAACCCTGTCTTGAACAAGGTGGGAGGTGGGGATGACACCTGAAGTTACCCTCTGACCTCCACACCACACCGTATCATACATGTGTTTGCATACGCACACGTGAATGCATGTGCACACACACACACAGAAGAACTTATCAACTCAGTCACAGGCCAAGTTGTCAAGCAGGCAGTGGTCCTTAAGAGAGGAGCAGGTACGTGTGCACAAAGTGCTGTGGGACAACGGTCTGTACCCTGTCAATTGTCTTCTAAGAAAACAATGATTGGTCAATAGCCAGGCAGGAAGTAGAGGCGGGTGATGAGAACAGGAGAATTCTGGGAAGAGGAAAGATTCAGCCTGCAGTTGTCATCCAGACAGAGGACTCAAGATGTGACTGCCTCGTCGAAAAAAGGTACCAAGCCACGTGGCTAACACAGACAAGAATTATGGGCTAATATAAGTTATAAGAGTTAATAAGAAGCCCGAGCTAATAGGCCAAGCAGTTTATAATTAATGTAAACCTCTGTGTGTTTATTCAGGACAAAATGGATGTGGGACCTGGTAGGACAGAAATCTCAGCCAATACACACAGACTTAGGGTAGGAAGATGTAGAAATCCTGAAAGTCCCTGGCTTAGAAGGTATGTGTGTGTTCCAAAACATGCCCTGAGGAGAGAGTCAGGAGAGACAGGGAGACCTTGGGTTACACTCAAGGACTTCACTGTGCCTGGATGTCAGAAGCCATGACTGTGTTCTGCCTCCAGGCACATACCTGTTAGGGCAGGTTCTGTGGGCCAGGTGAGCATAGGTGTATGGCCCTGCCCTGCTAAGGAACAACTGGAGAGTGGACAGAGCTGGAGGAGCCTGCAGCCGCCTCCGACCATCTCATCATCTCCTGGTCCCCTACAGAAGACGTCTCAGCCCTGTCTATGAAAAGGACATAGTGCCATCCCCAGCCTGGAGGAGGCCTGTGAATTGAGCTTCAGAGGTCCAGCCCTCCCTGCTTCCTAGCAATGGCAGCTGGTCCATGAGCACAGGCACTGGATGCTGGCAGAAGTTTGTAGCCCAGGCTCTGGATTTCCAGCTTCCCGAACAGACAGACCAGTGACCCTTTGCTTCCGAGGTCTCAACCACTGCACTCACTCCGCCAGAAAAGCCTGCTGTGTTCAGCTGGTTGTTGTTATAATTTCAAAAGAACTGGGCAGCCCAGACCCTCTGTGGATCCTGGGAGCTACTGACTTTGTGAAGCCCTGCTCAGCCCTGAACTGAGCAGAGACAGCAAAACAAAGCATTAGGTTTCAGTGCTTTTTGTGGTCCCTCAGGCCACCACTTTCAATGAGCCTTGGCTGGGATACGTCCTGATACCATCAATCATGCCTTTCCTTCCAAAAAAAAAAAAATTAAAGTCATTTGGTACAGAAATAGCCCAGAACGAGCCAGCGCTTCCCAGCCAGACAGGGAAGGCCGCAGAACTAGTGGCCAATGTGCTCCTAAAATGCAGGGGACTCTAAGCCACCACCAAACAGTCAGAAGTCAGAAATCGGCACACAACGCATGAGAGAGAGGCTCCAAGGCTGCTCTCTACATCCAGAAGAGAGAGGTCAGGAGACATTCTCCAGGCCTGCCCATCAAAGCGACAGAAGAACCACAGCTTACAGCCTGGTCCCGGGAGCATCTTCCCAAAGCTGAACTGGGCATCTGGACTCCAGTCCCCTCAACCACAGAACAGCAATGCAATGCAGAAACCCAGAAACCGTCACCCTCTCTGCCTCAGTCCCTCCCCACAAGTGACCTCTTTTAAGGACCAGCCCCATCTGCTGAGTCTCAGCCTGGAGCCTCCAGACCATCTCTGGCCCCATCTCCAGGATTTTTGGCAGGGCCTCTGCACAGTAACCCTACACACTGGGCTTACTTTGTCCCTTACCATCCTCACCATCCTTCCTCCCCCCTGCCAAGCCTTCCACCAATCCATTACAGGCACCACCAGTCACTGGCGCTCAGGCACAGAGGAACAGAGCATCCTGGACATGGGACACCAGGCCAACAGCTCCCATCAGCTCCTACCATGAGTAGGTTTCAGAATGTCCCACCTTCCAGAATCCTGAAGATACCCCAAGAGGCTGCTGCCATATTCCAGCCGGGCTGAGCACTCTCTCCTCAGCCTCATGCCTGCCAGCAGCCTGGGACTGCACATAAAAGATGCAAGTGGCTTAGCCAGAACCTGAAGCCACTGCCCAAGGGTCCCAAACTCAACTTTACCCACTCCCGTTGCCCAGAGCTCACAAGTCTCCAAGATGCTCCCCAGCAGGCCGGGTACCACACACAGCAGTTCCGTTAGGGATGCTTCCTTCCACCCTCTGCAGTGGCCTAACATCTGGATCCATGTCTACAGCGCCGTTCAGGGTCAGTCGTGTCTTCTGACCCATTGACTCCATATCCCCCCTCTCTTTGCCAACAGTGGGTCAACGATGGCCTAGCCCTGCCAGGGCCAAAGCCTGGGCGGAGGCCTCAGAACTATTTTTAAAATGTGATGGATGGAAGGCGCACGTGGAACAGGTGAGGTGTTGTATAAGTAGGCGGGCAGCTCACACACCACAGCTCCAAACACGGTGCCCTGAAGAAGGGCTTCACAAGTCGTGTCCTCAAACCCAGCCCTGTGCCACCCTGTGCAGCTGATGCCCAAGTGCCTCAGAACAGGGGCGGGAGCCTCCAGAGCTCACTCCCTGCTGGGGGCCGGGTACCTCACTAAACATGGGCTGATGCTCAGAATTTGGAGGACTAGAATCAGCAGTGGAATGTCTCCATCCCCTCTGCTGGGCGCCCAGTCCTCTGCTCACTGACTTAATACAGGCGCCTGATCGCTGGGCCCTGAGAAGAGGGCGTCCAACGACCCCAGCATCCCCACAGTACCTGGCTTTGCTACTGTCTCTAGGTTTCCCAACTCCGCGCTAGCACAACTATCAGATGGCGGGGAGGAGGGGGCGCTGACCCGAAAGAGCTTCAGGGACTCAGCAGCTCAGCGGGCTTGGGCTTCCCCGTTGTAGAACGCTGAAATGCTCACAGCAGGTGAGGGCAGAAGTGCCCTTCCTTGTCTAAACCAGTTTCCTGACTAATCTTGTCCCAGATCACCTGAGGCGCTGCTTGCTTGAAAATTCAAGTTCTAGGTGCCTGAAGCAGCTGGCCTGGGGTGAGGCCCCCGGGAATGCTGGGCAAAGTCGACTGGGAAGCCTTGGTCTCACTCTCCTCCCTGGGACACCACAGTCCGCCCACCACCGCGATCCTGAGCCAAGGCCACGGAGGACACGCATACTTCTGGTCTGGTCACCAGGGAACCTGCGCTCCTGCTCATCTCCCGTGCCTCTTCCCTGGACCAGGTGGGACTCTGGTCATTTCGGTTTCCTTCAGGACTCCCACCCCCACCGTCTCAGGCCAGTTCTCCAACGGGCAGCTGAACTCGCCCCAGGGTTCCAGGACCAGGTGTCTGCCCTGCAGGGGGCGAGGCGCGGGGGAGCCAGCCTGGGAGAAATGCCGCACTCACGGAGCTCTTACTGGGTAACTAGCGCTGTACCCCTGCGAGCACAGCACCGAGATGAATCGCCCCCATTTCACAGAGGTGGAAACCGAGGCATGGTGAGGTCACGTGCCTGCCAGGTGCACTGGGGCACTTGTGCCATCAGAGGGGAGATTCCAAATCCGAGATGAGATCACAGGAACCCAACGCCAACTCTCCTGCCAACAGTACCCGTTGCCCTTGTTTAGGGACAGATCCCCGAGACTGCTGCAGGAGGCAGCAGGACGCGCCCGCGCTGTGGCCGGGGCGCAGCGGGCGGGCATCCTGACTGTGCGCAGCAGTCGTCAAGGGCAGCATAGGGAGACTCCGAGGAGGTCGCCCAGCCCCACGTGCGCCCGGGACCCCAGGTCCCCTTCGCACTTACCTTGCGCCAAGCCTTGGGCGGCGGCGGCGTCCTGGGGCCCTAAGGCGCGCAGCAGCGAGCGCAGAGGCGCGGGCCAGCGGGCGTGCCCCCTGCCTTGGCCACGCATCTCCCTGAAGGCCAGGGGCTTGCGGCTCCGGGCTGCGTCCGCCCCTCCAAGCACGGTGTTAGAGCCCGGGGCCCGGGAGGCGCTGGCGGGGCGGGGCGGGACTGGAGCGGGGGCGGCGCCGTCTTGTGAGGCTCGGCCCCTTCTCCGGGCGGAGGCGCAGAGGGGGCTCAGCTGTGACCTTGACCTCCTGGACACTGCCCAGAGTGCTGGTGGGAACCTTGACGCAGAGAGTCCAGGACAACCTGGGAATCGCTCACAACCAGTGGGCCGGGAGGTGAACACCGGGTTAATTACGTTAGGGCAGCTGTGTGTCCTGGACAAGTCGCTTGACCTCTCTGAGCCTGGGCTATACTAGACTGGCCACCTGCAGGATGACTGCTGTAAGATGCGGGAGCCATCACTCTTCTTCTAGCAGAACCCATATCCGCCTTTGTTATAAAATAGAGCTGTTATTTTTCTACCGAGCACTGTGCGAGGAAAGCCCTGCCACCAAGGGCCAACTCTAAAATAGACTGCACTCCTGCCCAGCACCTCCCTGCATCACACAACTCCAAGTTCTCCCTCTGACCATAGCCCCTGGGGTGGAGCCTCAGAGTTCCTAGCTGTCTCTCCTGAGCTCAGGGTTCAAAACCCAATCTTGCCTTAGGGGGATCCCCGGCAGATCCTCCGGAGAGGCCCCGGAAGCCCTCATTCTGAGCCACATCAACAGCACCCTGCCCCGTCTCTGAGAGCTTTTACGTTCAGCTCTGTGACTCTCTGCTTATCTATCCCCAGCGAGGCAGGGACGTGTAGGCTCCGCTGCGCCCTTAGGGAGGCGCTGAGCCACGTAACTGGTGGCCCAGGTGGCCCACCCACCTGCCCAATGCTCTGGGTCCTGTCATCTTCAGCCTCAGAACTTTTAACTACGTAACTATTCTCAGTGGGCACGAGATGGCGCTGTAGGAAAGTCTTCAAGCCGTTGGCGCGCAGGCGGCAGGGCTCACAAAGCCGCTGTGGAAATGCAACTGGGCAGGAGCTTTGCTTTGGCTCCTGCTCCGCTCCCTCTTCCTGTTTCTGTCTCCTCTCGCTTCAGTTCTGTTGGAGAGACACCGAGGCTCAGGGGAGTGGAGCAACTTTCTTTAGGAGGCCAGCAGGGGAAGAGGCAGAGAGGTGGGGCAGGCAGTCAGGATTCCAAACCTGGTTGGTGTCTAAGTCTTTACCTACACAATGCTATGCTCCCGTGAATTCCTGCTTACACAGTGCCCCTTTCTTCCTTTCTTCCCGTCTTTCCTTCAGCTTGGGTGTTTGGGTTTCCTTTTCCCTGTGCACAGAGCAGTCATTTGCCTGCACATCAGTCCTGTCTGCTACTGGGCTGGGTTTTAAAGAAAAGCCCTAGCAGAGATGAAATAGCCACATTGACAAAATCCGAAATGAAAAGGGGACATAACAACAGACACTGAAGAAATCCAGAGTATCATTAGGTCATGTTTTGAAAACCTGTACTCCACCACATTGGAAAACCTAAAAGAAATGGACAATTTTCTCAATAGATACCATATACCAAAATTAAATCAAGATCAGATAAATAATTTAAATAGACCTATAACCCTCAAGGAAGTAGAAGCGGCCATTAAAAGTCTCCCAACCCCAAAAAGTCCAAGGCCAGATGGTATTAGTGCAGAATTTTGCCCGATTTTCTTTTTTTAAAAAAATATTTATTATGTATACAATATTCTGTCTGTGTATGTGCCTACAGGTGGAAGAGGATGGTGGGCAACATGGGATTCCATGATTGTGGGCCCACTGTCCAACTTCTCTGGCTGTGACGTGAGCTCCCTGGTCAGAAGCAATACTGTGTGGAATATCATGTTCATGGACAAGTCACTATGTAAGTTCATGAACGGTGATTTTGGCAGAAGTATTACATGCCAGAAAGGCAAATCCATACAAAGAATAAGTACCTATTCCGGTAAGCACTAAGCACTTTTCCTTCCATGGAGGAAGTGTCCAATGTTGTCAACCTGGCACCACGTTGCTGACTGGTCACCCTGAGGTTTGGTGTCAAATCTGGGTTCAGTATTGGTCTTTGCTGTTGGCAGATCTGGCACTCAGCAGTTGCTGGAACCAGGTCATCCTTGGTGAATGGAAGCCTGTTGTGGGATATTTGATCACACGGTGAATCCCAAGATTGCATTAATTAAATAAAATCAATTTTGGGCCAAGAGGTGGATCCAGAAATCAGTGGACAGCAAGTCAAGTGATGTGGGATGTCCTTCTGTATATGTGTTGGTATTACTGGTTAATGAATAAAGCTGTTTTGACCAATGACTTAGCAGAGTAAAGTCAGGCAGAAAATCCAGAGATATAGAGAGAGAGTAGGCAGAGTCGAGCAGATGCTATGTAGCTGCCAAAGGAGAAAGACGCCAGACTCTTACTGGTAGGCCACAGCTTCGTGGTGATATGCAGACTAATAGAAATGGGTTAATTTAAGATGTAAGAGCTAGCTAGAAATATACTTAAGCCATTGGATAAGCAGTGTTGTAATTAATATAGTTTCTGTGTGATTATTTGGGTCTAAGCAGCCGGAAAATGAACATGAAGTCTCCTTTTACAATGGAGAGTCAGATAGAGTCTGAAAAATGGATAGAGAAATGCACAGAAAACTGTAGGGAGGGACTTTGAGGTTGGTGGGGTTTGTTTGTTTGTGTGAAGAGGAGTTGACTTTCTGAGACACAGACTGAGGACAAAGTCCTGGTTGCTCCTCTGCCTCCCTGAGATAGCAGCTTTTTACCCCAACATATGACTAACAAGTCTTTATTGGTAAAATCCTAAGATTGATATTTAGTGTAAAAACATTTTGCTGCTGGGCAGTGGTGGTGCACAAATTTAATCCCAGCACTCAGGTCAGGAGGCAGAAGCAGGTGGATCTCCATGAGTTTGAGGCAAGCCTGGTCTACAGAGCAAGTTTCAGGACAGGCTCCAAAGCTACACAGAGAAACCCTGTCTCAAAAAACCCAACCAAAACCAAAACAACAACAACAAAAACCAACAACAACAAAATAGAAAATGGGTATATATTTTTTTTTAATTTTCCTGCAAAGACAAGAAGAGAACCCTGCCCCAACCCTTGTGAGGTTTCCTTACAACCTGTAGGATTGTCAACTCTGTGGATGAGCTGTCATTTTTCTTTATCATGAGGTTTCTCTTTTTCAAACCATATCTTGATTAATTTTGATGGTATTCATAGCTTTTCTTCTCCTGTGGAAACAAGAGTGTAACCCGTGCCCCAACTTAGCACATCTCCTGGTTTCCATTCTGAGCTCAACACATCCTTGAAGTACACCAGCTGATTTAATTCAGAAGTATTTTCTATTGTCCAATGTCTCTCTGTATGTAGCTGTTGTTTCTTTATCATTAGCATTAAGAAAATTCAAGGTTAATAAAGCATTATGCAATCTATATCTGGGGATCTTTATCATCCCTTTCTGTTTGTTTAACATATCCCTTTTAGTACTGTTTGATCTTTCTATAACTGCCTGACTTGTAGAATTGTTTGGTATACCTGTGATATGCTTTATATTATAATAAGCAAAAAATCTGTTTCATTTTCTTAGACACATATGCTGGACCATTATCTGTCTTTATTTGTGCAGGTATACCCATGATGTCTATAACTTCTAGCAAATGTGTAATTACTGAATCAGCCTTTTCTGAATTCAAAGCAGTTGCCCATTGAAAACCTGAATAAACATCAATGGTGTGGTACATATATTTTAATTTTCCAAATTCTACAATATGGAACCCACCCGTCTGCCAGATTTTATTCCTTTGAGTACCCTTTGGGTTACTTCCCTGCAGGTAATGGTGTTTGGTTGTATAAAGAATAAGTAGAAGCCAGGTGGTGGTGGCACACACATTTAATCCTAGGGAGGTAGAGGCAGGAAGATCTCTGTGAGTTCGAGGCCAGCCTGGTCTACAGAGTGAGTTCCAGGACAACTAGAAATATAGAAAAACAAAATAATAATAATAATAATAATAATAATAATAATAATAAATGAACAAATAGGACATCTTCTTATAATTTCTTTGACTTGTTGCCATGTGATAGAAAAGTCATCTTTTAAACCTTTGCTATTGATACAATGATTTTTAATGAAATTCTGAGGCCTTCAGAATATTTCCAATCAACAATTGATCAATTTCTGCATTGCCTTGTGATAGAGGACCTGGCAGACCCATATGGGATTGTATGTGTTAGGTATATGGGATGAAGCTTATTCCTGATTATATCATGTACCTTAATAAATAATAAAGTCAATTCTGTATAATCTGGTATAAATTCAGTGGTTTCAATATGGAAAATAAATCTTTATGCATATTTCAAATTGGTAACTATGTTGAGAAGTTCCTTAAAATCCCTTAGTACCATGAGAATGGCATATAATTCTGACTTTTGAACAGAATCATAAGGGCTTTGTTCTACTTTACTTAAATTTTATGATTTGTAACCTGCCTTTCTTGATTTATTTGCACCAGTGTGATATGTAAGGGCTCCAGTTATTGGTGTGTCCTGCACAATGTAAGGAAGGATTCAATTAGTTCTCTTTATAAGCTGAATTCTCTCACTTTTAGGATAGTTGTTAATCTCTCCCAAAACATTGCTACAAGCCCTTTGTCAGGGTTCACTTTCTGCCCATAATTTGTGAATTTCATCATTAGTGAATCGTGCTACAATTTCTGCTGGGTCTATTCCTGCTAATTGACGAAATCTCAGGTTTTTTTTTTTTTTAGAATTAACTCAGAGACCTTTTCCACATAAGTTTTTAATTTTTTACTTGGTTTATGTGGTTTAAAAAATCCATGTTAAGATAAAAATCTTTCCTCTGCATTAAAATTTCTGTAGGGGAATATTTGTAGGGTAATATGACCAGAATGCAGTTAAGATTCAGCTCTGTATGATCCACATCTGCCTCCTATAATTTCTCTTCAACCAAAGTCAGTTTTCTCTCGGTTTTGGCTGA